AGTGTGTATTTGAGTTTAAAACACAAGCATATTGAGTTCGAATTGTATACGGCATATTCATGATGCAGCGGAAAAAAAATGAGCGTGAATAATATATGCACACATATATTGAGAGCCTCAAGAACATCTCAGCTCTGATACCAATGTTAGAAAAATATAAGACAATGGATCGAAAACATACCGGTCGGATCTCGGGTTGGGTCGGTCGGATCTTCTTAGCTCACGCTTAAGCTAGACTATAAAAGTCTAAGCTTTTAAGTGCACAGCAGAGCACCTCTTTTGCAAGAAAGAAAATAAGAGAGAGAGAGATATATATATATAGTAGGAAAGCTCTACTACTGGAGTGATTTGAACTGATGGGGGGAAGCCTCTATTTATAGCTTTTGTCAGGTATATTTTGGGTAGTATAAAAATATCTACTGAGCCCATCAGATAAAATCTGAGATAATACATAATATATCCTTATCTCATAATATCATGATATTTGAATTTAAATCCAGAATCAATCACAATTAATTCTAAATATATATACTTAATATATATTTAATCTACACAATATAAATTAATTAGATTTATATCGTAACCGATTGGATATGATTCAGGGTGTTTGACCAAGTCAAACATATCACAATATTGCTTGGATATTTGACTGATATATTCTCTTTATACCCGGTCAAATAATCCGGCCCATCAAGGGCGGATCCCAAGCCCAAAATCTAACAGAGAGTGACACTAAAATGGATCTTCCATACTCTTAACCACTTTTACGGTGGCCGATGCAATCAGGATCTGCCTCTCTTGCTCATCTTCAAGTAGTGGCTAATCTCCTAATGCATAATTCCTTTGGTTGGAGTCTGATTCAATGGAATCATAGACCGGCACGTTCCTTATACCATCCTCATGTTGCTAACTATTACCAACATTCCCCTTTCCTTTGTAAATATCCCAGATCAAATTTCTTGGAAGGGAAATAAGTCCGGGATATACATGGTTAAAGGTGGATATTCTTTATGTCTGAGGCAACACCTCTTTGGTGTCCAAGATCCCCTTTGAAAATTCTTGTGGTCTATATCTCTACCTGTTAAATTTCTCTTGCTTGTTGAGAAACTCTTGCACAATGCTTTAGCATCCTATGATATTCTTCAACAACATCACCTCAACACAACTGAGCCATACTTATTTGGTCATCAAGAGGAATCTATAGATCATTTAATCTTTCTTTGCCCTTTCCCCAGAGCAATTTGATTTGAATGCTTTCTCAATAAATTTGATAACATTAGCATTCAGCACTTTCCTATGTGGTTAAAGAATACCCTTTCTAATTTGTATCAGGACAATCGTCTGTATCTTATTAAGGGTATTATTATTCTTATTAACATTATTTGGAGGAAGGGAAACATTGCCCTTTATGAGAATACACACACACACACCAAATCCTTCTGTTGTTTGAAGAGATGAAACATGCTATCTTATTCTCAAAAATGGCTTTTTCTCTTAATCTGGAAAGTTCTCCTTTGACTCCAAAACTCTCCTTAGGCTATCATCTTAAATAAAGTTAAAACCAAAAGCAAAGCCATCATTCAAGGATTTGTTTGCATGGCCAGACTCTTTAATACTTTCAATCGATTCATAGACTTTGGGGATCATTCTTTCAATTATAATGTTTGCAATCTTCTCTTAGTTGGATTGTTAATTCTCCAGTCTTCTTTTCTGATGATCAGTCACTACAGGTTTTGGCTTCCATCAAACAACTAGCAGAGATTGGTAACTCAGTAGAAGGAGCAACTAGAATCATCATTCACAAAATCCTTGTTTTCTGTAAATTATTTTCTACTTTAGATGTTGTAGCTATTAATCCCTCGTTTAATTTTCTCTTTTTGCTAATTTTATTTTTTACTGTTTTTCTTCAATTATGGACATATAATGTTGCATTTTTCTTATTAATATCAGTCTTTTATTAAAAAAACTTATGAGACATTTTTTAATCAATGCAGATCCCAATAAATCAGTTAATATCATTAAAAACTATAAATCTTTCGTGTTGACCTTAACTTAATGTGGTGTCTCACATGATAAATATTAGTTCTTAATTTTAATACTTATTAAGTGTTTTTTTTTAAAAGTATTTATTACACCTTAAAAGCCTAAAAATATCTTATTTTTAAACATATTATTTCATAGAGTATGCTCTATAATTTTAAACCAAAGGAGTATAATTTCTTCAATTACTTGTCGAGGTCTTAGAGATTAATAACATTAAATGTGTCAGTTTAATCTTTTTTTAAACTTAAGAGTTACGAGTTCGAATACCCTATTAAAGATATAATGAGTGCGTGAATTATAATAATAAAATAACTTCTTCACTTATTTATATATTTACCATCCAGTTGTCCAATCATATAATACATACGGATGCTTTTGTTTGTTTTTTTTTTGGCCAGAAGAAGTATTCATTCATTCATCAAACAACAAAGTTATTACAAACACCAATCTAAAATAGCTCGGTATAAGTCTAATCACCAACCACCAACTCCTAACTCCAAGCTTAAGGCAGTTAAATAATTTTGTATTCAGAAACTTAACATGAAAGTCTCTATAATTTCAACTTATTGTCACTATAGTTTTCCCCCTTTTTATTGAATCCATATAATGTTTTCAATTATGAATATTGATCCTTAATAATTTATTAATTTATAAGAGAAACAATATTAGTAGTTGATGACATGGTTTTCATTCAGCAGACAAAATTGATTATGTGACATGAATCCAAAAAAATCAAAATAAACCAAATTACATGTTATATATAGATATGTAAGGAGTCAATTATAAGCAAAATAATTTTTTTTATTATGTCAATAAATTTTGTTTCATCATTTTACTTTCTGAACAAAACTCCTTTTTATTTCATTTTTTGGTAACAATTTACATATCGTTTAGTGATATCTACATTAACTCTCGTTAAGGAACCAACATCTATAATTGATGAGCCTATAAGGACTTAATAAAAATAAAAACTTATAAGAATTCAATTAAAATTATAAAGAATGATAAATTAATTTTACTTACATGAATCTTGACAGCATAAACTGAAAATCTCTAACTTTTATTTCTCCCAAATTTGCCGCCACACAAATGTCATGAGTGGGCCCATCGCCATTAGTGATATGGGTCAACAAAATCCTTTTCAGAGAGCGATTGCAAAGAAGTAAAAAGAAAATCATAAAATTATCTTCGAAGAACTTATCAATAAATAGCCTCATTGATTAGGTTATCAACTAATCAAAAAGTAAGAATTCAAAAACAAGACTTATTTATAGAAGTCAATATTGACCAAGAGTGAAATATAAAACAAAGTAATTTATCATGAGGATTCTTCAAAAAAAACTAAGTGAAAACATATGTAACTTGACTTCTATCTAAGTCAGGGAATTTTTGTTTTAAATAATAATATAAGAAGAAGAACAAAGGCTGAAAATTTAAAGATAGAATCATATCATATTTTTCTAAAATATGATATTGAAAAGGCTATCGATAATTTAGGTAGATTTTCAAATTCATTTTAAACAACTTTATCAAAAAGGTCATCGAAAATCAAGTTTATCAAAAAAACTTTTAGAAAAGGCTCTTAAAAAGAGATTAGGCAGAAATAACAAGAGGAAAAAATGACTTTTATCAACAAGGTAATCGATATTATTGATGAAGTTATCAATAAATTTCACTAGTGAAAATATAACTTTTAAAACATAGAGAGCTTTATTGAAAATTCTTTTGGAAAATATAAGTGACTCAGTAAAACTTTAGAAAAACAATTTTTGATCACGTTATCAAGAATTATGAATTATCAACAATTATAGAGTTTGATAGACACAATAAGCCCATATGCATTAATAGTTTGTAATACAAATAAACTCACCCATTTAACCATTTATCGAAGAAGTTTTCAAAAAACCTCATTTATCAATAACATCATCAGTAAATACTTAACAGTAACGTAAATGCAAAAAAACAAAACAATTTACTTTGTCGTCCTTAAAACATTAACTCTAACATTATTATACTTAGTAGTTAGCAAGAACAAGGGGAAAAAAGCGAGGATCAAAGCTTAAAAAAGTAGCAAGAATTGTTCATCGCTATATGTATTTGTGCTACAAGGTGACCTTGCATTTTATGTTTGGCAATACCCAAGCCATACATGTCATTCACCACGATGTATATCAATACATATTTACAACTTGGTTATTATTAACTTATACATCATCCATGATCAATTTACAAATTCAAAAAATTTAGAATTAGTTGAATTTTTAATTTTCTGGAAAAAATTTTAGGTTTGAAGAAAAATTTTAAAAAGTTCAATACCCAATTCCTTTTCTAGGACCAACATTTTTTCACGCGCCAAAAGTTCCAGTTTTAACTTCACGACTAAAACCAACGAATTATCACACTCCAAAAACTTCAAAACAAACCTGAACAGGGGAAAAGAAGAAACATAATTACTTAAAATTACTTCAAAGTCTGGATAAGTCTCAATACAAACAAGGAAACGACAGCTCCCTTGGTACCAACTACATAATTAACTAGTCGTTGTCGTTGAACTTTTTGGTAACATTCCTTCGCATCCTCATTCTAGTTCTCCCATTGAATTCTGACACCCATCATGAATACTCCTCCGGTCCTTAATATAGGACCCAATTCTTGAGTTGGTTTTGGTCCTAAATATAAGACCCATTTCTTATATTTATCAATTTTCTCTAAATTACCCTTATGGATACTCCCTCAACCATAATCAAGTAGAAGAGAGAGGGGGTATTAAGAAAGATGATTATGGTGTTTTAGGAAAAATGTGTCCCTTTTCTTATAATTAACTAATTTACCTAACTTCCTTAATCTAATCAAATTAGTTAAAAGGGTCTTAATTAAAGGCCGGAGGAGTAGATAATAATTTTTTCATTCAAAAAACAAAAAGTCATTATATGTCTGCCAGTTAAAACATATTCCTTCTACTTGCAATTAATGGTCAATTTTTTAGTAATCAATCTAATCCCTGCGTGCTGCTTATAGTCATAGGGATCTAAGGAGCAGACTGCATCAACAAATGTCCCAACTTTGAGCACGGAACCGAGCTCCTCCACATCTACCTTGCTAAAGAGCAGCCTCCGGACGGTGCCCGATGATTCTTTCTGGCATATTACAGTTGCATATGTGGCAACCTTCTCACATATCACCGTAGGTATGCTGTAATGTCAATATTTACAAAAATAAGTGAAATTCTTAGCAGGGGAAATTTCCAAAGTTTCAATTTCTTAAGATCTTTAGATATTAAGCAAACAGTTCAGCTAGATATTTTCTGTTAGGATCTTTGACCCAGTGGCAGGATTCAGTTGCGGTATTAATCGCCTATAACATTTATGGCCGCTAAATTTTTTCTATTGAAGAACCTCATAAAACATAAAGAACTGCTTCTAAATTTTATCCGAAGCTAAATCTTTGCATCCATGTTTCAAATTGTGCAGCTAATAAAAGGACCCTATAACAATTTTAAACTGACAAAGCTTCTAAAATCTAAAAATCACATTCCTAATAGCTAGGTCAATCACGTGGAAGACTGAAAACCCAGCCCAAGATTAGTTTATGCTATCCGTCATATATTTGGAGTGAAAGCATGTGCCTGCACTTTATGTGCAGGATATGAACTTACTGTAATCGCACAACAGCATAATGGAAGAAGCCCTCTTTTCTAGTAACAATTGGTCTCCAATCAGAGCTGCTACCAGATTCCAAAGATAAGCCCCGTGCAGTACTATCACAAGCTTCAAGAACCTTACATAAGCTTTGTGATGGATCAAGAATAGCCAAAAAATTCAACTTCGGTTGGCCAGCACGATCCTTATACTTCTCATTTACTCCAAACTATATTTTAAGATCAGTGCAACAAAGCTGGAAGGGGAAACCTTTGTGCAATAGTTGTATCCTTTGACCGCCACGATATAATGGATTGAGAGATGCTGTGAGGCAAGAAATAAATATTTCATCAGGATCTAAGACAGCAATAGAGCTGCTACTACAAGCATCAGACACAGCAGTCGAAGAAGACATCTGGGGTGTCTCTGAAGTGGGCATTTCATCAACCACTACAACTGGTTGAATTGATTCTCTGTTCAATTCATCCCAAAGGCCACGCAAATCAAAATGACGCTGTTGAGCTCCATTAGCATCTACTGAACTTGATTCAGAGCCTTCTAAGCTGCACATCACAATAGGAGAAGCTGGAGAATTCTCAACAGGTGACAAAGATTTCCCATTACTACGACTTCTTGTAGTAGCATTTGGAGAAAGCCAACTATTCGCTGTAAATATTTCTGGAAGACTTGATTCCTGTATGGAGGGAGGGATTATAAAGTAGAATCAGAACTCAGTATTTAACAAGTCAAATTTCAATTCACTGCTTAACGAATTAAACCATGAAAAGAATTATCAGCACCTAGCACTTGATGCAAAACATAACAATATGCTCCTGAAGATTTTACCAAGAACAAAACATACTGAAATTCGTCAAAATAAAATTTTACCAAGAACAGAACAGCTGCGCAGTGTTTGAGAACATCCAGAGTCATGCGAACATCATCTAAACTCCTGAGGATATGATGCAGAAGAAAAAAGCAAAATGAAATTATTATAGCCGATTTAAAATAAAGCATTACATAAAATCGATCAGTATAGTTACCGATGCGTTTGCGGTCCAAGCCCAAAACATCTTGCAAGAGTTGCCAGCTGCAGTGAACACATGAATGCATTGTAACTTGAGTTAGGCAAAGCCAGACTACAAGACAGAATGTGATAGAAGGTTTTTTTTTCGTTTAGTGGAAATGTGATAGAAGTCCGGGTTCAATTTTAATTTTAGGTTCGGTTCCACTTCCACTCCCAATTCCAATTCTTCATACCATACATACCATATGGAAACATTCGCTCAGCAGAGGTAAAAATCGGGTTCATGGGCACAAGACTCAAGAGGCCCCGCATTGAGGGGGTAGGGCACCTACTCGTGGTGGGGTGTGGGTTCAAATTCTAGAAATAAAGGAGCAGTACCTTCATGTCTCCAGCTCTTCTTCGAAACATTTTAGTCAACAAATCCAATGAGTCAATAGTAGCCTTCGGTTTCAGTGGTGGCCGATTAATCTCTGTAAATGCATCTCTCACGCGAACACAATCAAATTTTAAGATGTTATGGCCAACCCAAATCCGTTCTACAGGAAATTCAGAGAACAAAAAATAATTAAGAATTATAACCGCAATTTGCCGCGCCTAGTCCATCGTTTTCTCCACTTTCTCCCATTAAAAAGTAGAGAAACAAAAGGCATTGTTGGTCGCCGGGTGGGCCGCAGGCTGCTCCTTCTGCTTATCTTAGCTCTATCCTACAAACAAGGCAGGGTACTTGTTTGTCAGCGTAGGGCTAGCTCTGAATCACCTGCTCCTTAATAGGCCTGCTTATTAGTCTCTTGAAAGAAAAGCTTCCCGCGGAGAAAAGAGCTCTCGTCTTTGAACTTCCGGACCCTTGGCAGAACATAATTCAAAGCGGAAGAGACACAAGAAAAAAATAGACCTTTCGGCTCTAAGGTGTGTTTGGTTGGAGGGGAGGGGAAGGGAGGGGAGGGAAAATGAACCCCTCCCCTTATTTGGTTAAAAATTTTGGAGGGGAGGGAAGCCAAAATATTCCCTCCCCTCCCCTCCCTCCCCCCATTTTAGCTTCCCTCCAAATTGAAGGTTTTTGGAGGAGGGCTAAATTTTTGGACCATTATGCCCTTATGATTTTTTTGATATTTCACAACCACCTATAAAATATGTTATTATAATATTTATTTTAAATAAAAAATATATTATCCTAAGTAAAAAATAAAAAATATAAATGATTATAATTAAAAAATATATTACAATAAAAATTAATATAAATTATTATAAAAATAAAAAAAATTATTTAAATAAAAATATAATATTATAAAATTAATTTTTTTATAAATATATTATTTATTAAATATATTTTAAAGCTGAAAAAAAAGCATAGCCTAAAGAGAATAAAATTTCAATTTTTTTAGAGTATATAAAATTTATTAATTTGATTATTTCAAATATATTATTATATTAATTAGAATTAAAAAAATACTGTATCAATTTTTTAATGCACATATTAACATGATAAGACTGAATTTTTATTAAATTATATGATTTAAATTAAGATGTAAATTAATTTCTATAATATATCAATAAAAAATATAAATTAATATGTAAGGGTAAAATAGTAAATTGATTATTACTATCCCTCCTCTCTCCTTCTTGAATCAAACAAGGGATCGTTAAATATTCCTCCATCCTCTCTTTTTTAATCAAACCAAACAAGGTGAGGATGAAACATCCCCTCTCCTCCCCAACCCCACCCTCCCCTCCCTCCCTTACCCTCCCCTCAAACCAAACAGGCCCTAAAAGAAAGAAAAGCGAGGAGGCCCCACAGCAATGGTGTATTGGTGCGGCATAGATCAAATGAATAAATATGATAATACTGGTCTGTTTTTAGTAAATGAATAAATATTATGAGTTTTTGGCCTTTGCCAAAAAATATATGGGTAGCAAGTTCACATGGATCTGTATCTTTCATCCTTCTGTGTGGGGATGATTTATTAATTTATTAATGATATGAAAGGTGAAGTAAATGTTTAGCGTGGTGGGAGAACAAGTGGTGGGGTGGGAGAACAGGAATGATAGTCCATCAACTGGTTAATAGTTATCCGTCTTGTATAAATCCATCACGCATCCTTTTAGCTTAAAAATTGTTATTGAATAAAGTTGTAGGCAAAGCTACACAGAGAGGTACTGTAATAACACAATAATGTGAATCCTTCACATGAACCCAGACCTTCCCATCCCCCGTAAATCAAGTTACTTGCTCCCCTCACCTACACGGCTTAAAAATGAATTATGGTATAAGAGTGTCAATGAGCTCACTGTCAATTCCAGGAGAAAAAGGAAGAAATACAAAGGTGTGACTGGTCTGTAGTGCTTAAGAATAGCTATTCTCCATGCATAAGTTAAGAAGTTGCAAACTTTCTATTACACATATCTGTTAGAACCAGTATTTGGGTATTTCTGTTTGAGCTGTACGAAATGAAATTCTCATATACGGTTCTCAGAGGGGAAGCCCCCTTGGTTTACCTATCTCAATAAAGTCTATGATTGGTTCGAAGAACGTCTTGAGATTCAGGCGATTGCAGATGATATAACTAGTAAATACGTTCCTCCTCATGTCAACATATTTTATTGTTTAGGGGGAATTACACTTACTTGTTTTTAAGTCCAAGTAGCAATAGGGTTTGCTATGACTTTTTACTATCGTCCGACCGTTACTAAGGCTTTTGCTTCTGTTCAATATATAATGACGGAAGCTAACTTTGGTTGGTTAATCTGATCAGTTCATCGATGGTCGGCAAGTATGATGGTCCTAATGATGATCCTGCACGTATTTCGTGTGTATCTCACCGGCGCTTTTAAAAAAACCTTGCGAATTGACTTGGGTTACAGGTGTAGTTTTAGGTGTATTGACCGCATCTTTTGGTGTAACTGGTTATTCCTTACCTTGGGACCAAATAGGTTATTGGGCAGTCAAAATTGTAACTGGCATACTTGAAGCTATTCCTGGAATAGGATCATCTTTGGTAGAGTTATTATGCAGAAGTGCTAGTGTGGGCCAATCTACCTTGACTCGTTTTTACAGTTTACACACTTTTGTATTACCTCTTCTTACAGCCGTATTTATGTTAATGCACTTCCAATGATACGTAAGCAAGGCATGTACGGTCCTTTATGGAGAATATGGATCATAGATATTTGGAATCAATCATTTATCATTTGGGGGAGGAGACAATAGTATTTCATTGCTACAAATATGTCTTATTTAAAATTAAAATAATAAGACATGTATTTGGATATTTCCCTTCAACTTCACAAAATTGGATTATATTATTTATTTGACAGACACGAATAGTTGAAGGGAATTCTTTGAAGAAAAAATGGATTATGGGAGTGTGTGACTTGAACTATTGATTGGGCCGCGCTGATATATGACTTTATCTTATCCGCCACATTTGAATTCACAATGAAATGTGTCTTTGTTCCAACCACCGCACAAGTCCCCTACAGAGGATAGGCTGGTTCACTTGAAGAGAATCTTTTATATGATCAAACTCCATCATGTCCTGCATGAATAGTCTCCGTAAGATCCAGTAAAATAAGTGATGTGGTATAATACGGATTATGTCTTATATTTCACTTAACCTAATAGTATGGAAATGCACTCATTTCTTCTGCATTGACTCGATTTATGATACTATTGGAGTGAAACAAGCAGATCTAAAGAAGAACAGGGGCTAGATTATATTAGTAACAAGTAAATCCTTTGTATGTAAAGTAAAAAGTCTCGAGATTTTGGGGGATAAAGGCCAATCGCAAGGTCTGAGATGACCCAGAAAGCACTATCAACTTTGTAAGCCTACTTGGGTATTGAGCATTTACTTAACTTATAAGAATAAGAACAGAATTTCTTGCAATGGATAGTTGTAACTCTAGAAAAGAAACTCTGCTAAATTGTTTTCGTACATAGAATCTTCATATTCATATATATTATGTGTGTATAACATATAAATTTTTTAGATAGATACGTTTGATTCGTGCTCGAGCCGTATGATGAAAAATTATCATGTCCGATTCTTTTGGAGGATGGATCTATAAGAATTCACCTATCCCAATAACAAAAAAACATGACTTGAATGATCCTGTATTAAGAGCTAAATTGGCTAAAGGAATGGGTCGTAATTATTACGGAGAATCCGCATGGCCTAACGATCTTTTATATATTTTTCCAGTAGTAATTCTAGGTACTATTGCTTTTAACGTAGGCTTCGCGGTTCTAGAACCATCAATGATTGGGGAACCCGCGGATCCATTTGCAACTCCTTTGGAAATATTGCCTGAATGCTATTTCTTTCCCGTATTTCAAATACTTCTTACAGTGCCCAATAAGTTATTGGGTGTTCTTTTAATGGTTTTGGTACCAGCGGGATTATTAACAGTACCCTTTTTAGAGAATGTTAATAAATTCCAAAACCCATTTCGTCCTCCAGTAGCGACAACCGTCTTTTTGATTGGTACCGTAGTGGCCCTTTGGTTGGGTATTGGAGCAACATTACCTATTGAGAAATCCCTAACTTTAGGTGTTTTTTAAATTGATTCAATTATGAAATAAAATATCATGATATGTGTATTGTGTATCTAGGGAAAATTCACTTTGAAACCACTAATCCCTAGATACATCTATTTAATTTTGGAGCTATTCCGAGTATATGGATTTGTGCTAAAGATTCAAAACCCGCATTTTCATCTTTTTCCCCCCTAAAAAAAAGATAAAAAAATCCAATGTATTTCAATTTTATGCAAAATGCTTTTCTATTTCTAAAATGTCCAATATAAGTTTTACATCTTCTATGCGAAGATGTTCCATTTCATAAGGTCTTCTTGACTGTTATTCAAAGGTCCAATAATGTATGTATATTGGACCTTTTGAGACAATTATAGATCCTGGGAGGCAATTCTAATTGGTCAATAAAAATAGATTTCAATCCTATTTCTTTTTTATTTTTCCTTAGTTTAGCCAATCCATCATGAAAAGTAAAAAGGGGTAAGTAGTAACTTTGTCTTGATTGTTTTCTAAATTTAAGTTTTTTTCGTCCGCATGTAAAAAAGGAATAAATCAATCAATCAAATTCCGGGAGGCTTCATAAAGTGCTTCTTTAGGAGTTAAACTTCCATTTGTCAATATTTCGAGAAAAAATCTCTTGTTTTTCATTCCCATTCACATAAGAATGAATACTAAAATTTGCATTTCAAACAGGCATGAATACAGCATCTATAGGATAACTTCTGTCTTGAAAGGTATTTAGTGTTTTTATACAATATCCACGATTCCTCTCGATTTGTAATCCAATACACAAATTGATAGGTTCTGTTAGATTAGCTATATGTTGTGTATTATCAACGATTTCCACAGAAGGTGGTAAAATTATGTCTTGAGCAGTTACATATCCCGGACCCTTGACCCAAATAGACGCATCCCGAGTTCCATAGAGATTACTTCTCAATACAGTTTTTTTCAAATTCATTAAAATTTCACGTACTGATTCTTGAATACCCACTATGGTAGAATATTCATGTGGTATTTTCTCAGATTTTGCACGTGTGATACATGTTCCCTCTATTTCTTCGAGCAAAGCTCTTCGCATCGTAATGCCTATTGTGTCGGCTTGACCTTTCATAAGTGGAGATAGAATAAAGCGTCCATAATAAAGACACTTACTATCTGCTCTTGATTCAACACACTTCTACTGCAGTGTCCGAGTGGATGCTCTTACTTTCTCTCGAACCATAATAATCTATTTTGATCAAATCCTTGAATTTGAATAATTTATTTCTCTTGAAATCACTTCAATGTTTATTTTTCCTTTTACACACGTCTTTTTTTAGGGGGCCTACATCCATTATGTGGCATTGGGGTTACATCCCGTATGAAACTTAATAGTATACCATTCTACGAATAGCTCTTATGCCACATCTTTTTCGAGACCGGCACCTTTTATCATGACTTCTGCTCATTGCATACCTTGATCCGCTACTGTCCGAATAGCATTTCATGCTGCGGTTTGAGCGGCAAAAGGTGTCCCCCTTCTTGTACCCTTGAATCCACAAGTACCGGCGGAAGACTAAGAAATCACCTAACCCCATACATCTGTAATAGTCACAATGGTATTGTTAAAACTAGCTTGAACATGAATAACTCCCTTTGGTATTTTACGCGCATTCTTACGTGAACCAATACGTACATTTCTATGTGAACCAATTTTTGGTATAGGTTTTCCCATATTTTATTATCTCATAAATATAAGTTAGAGATATATGGATATATCCATTTCATGTCAAAAGTGGACACTTTCTATTTTTCAATTTTTTCATTTTTTTATTTTTTTTTGTGCATCCGGTCAAGTCCCCCTTTTTTTTTTTTTATTTGTTTTTTGGCAAGATTATCCTTGTATTTGTTTATGTCTTGGATTGGAACAAATTACTATAATTCATCCGCATCTACGAATCAGTCGACATTTTTCACAAATTTTATGAACGGAGGCTCTTATTTTCATATTTGTTATTCCTTAACTGAATTCTGAATGTTTTTATTGGAAGAGAATAGGGTTTCCTAAAATTTTGAACTTCTAATTGTATCGCCATAAAAAAAGAATGTTGAGGGTGAAAAACAGTATAACCATTCGAATTTGTGTTCCGGAGTCTATCTGCTTGAAGCAAAATGAGTTACTTCTATTTTTTATCTCTCGGTAATATGTATAAAACTATGTCGAATTCTTCCGGAAACAGGACCACCTAGAATCTATATTTTCATTATCTGGAATCTTATTTTCATTATAGGAACGAACCTGGAACATACCATTAGGAAGTGATTCAGTAATTAAACCCTCATGATTTTATTTCTATTGCAATTAAAACCCCTTTCCCATAACTAATGTATGTGGAGTGATATTAGAAACCCGCTTTTTCTCTCTCTTTTTTCACAAAAATGTATGTAAGTTTCTCATAGAATTCCGATATCAGAAAGATTACCATATATAACATAAAATTTCTCTGCCGATTCTTTCTAATCGAGCCTCTCGATCTGTCATTATACCTCGAGAAGTAGAAAGAATTACAATGCCCATGATTGAACCCAATTGTTCTATGTTATTTCATATCATTTTAAGGGTTTTTATCATAGGTTTTGGCTCCTTTTAATGATAATTGTGCTTAATTTAGATTAAGAGTCCTTACTTTGAGTTAGTTTCTTTTTTAGGGTAAAATTGTCATAATTAGTTATTAATTGTATTCAATTGATTTCTAGGACAATTGATGCTTTAAATTGTTGCTTTTCATTGTAGGACACTTGAAAATTAGAGCCAAGATTGAAGACCAAAGCATTACACAACATGAGAGTTTTCAAGAAAATGTGCATCAGTGGCTATTCTGGAATAGTTCGCCGGGGCAAACTTTTTGGTTCGCCGGGGCAAACTCTCAAAATCTCACTAGAATACCTCTCTGGAATAGTTCGCCGGGACAAACTTTTGAGTTCACCGCGGCGAACCTCTTCGTATCAGGAACGTTAGATTCAGATCCAGAACGCAAAAATGGACCTTCTACTCATATGATCCGACCCAGATAGACCCCAAAAGCCCTTAGAAACCCTATTTTCGACCTAACACTCCATTCTATTATCTCCAACACCTCTATTCTCCCATCCTCTTGCCTCTCTATCTCCATTTTTCTTCCCTTTCCATTTCCTGCACTCTTTCTTCATCCCACCTCATTTCCTTCATCTCCCAGCTACCATGGCCGACGGATTCACTTTACTTAGAGCTTTTCTTGAAGCTATGGAGGGCTAGGGTTTATCAACTCTTGAACATGGTGGAGTAGCATGAGTTTCCAAGCTTCAAAAGGGAGTTTTAGTTTTAATCTTTAGTTTCTAGCTATATGTTTATGATTTCCTAGGTCTAGGAGTTGTAAAGTCTTAGTTAGACACTTTGGTTAATTCTGTAATCATTGGTTAATGGTTTACATTTGTAGTTTGGATTAGTTGATGTTGAATTTTGGGCTTAAATATATGTGGTCACATATATGCTTCTTTGTAACTCTCATGATTCTCTCCTATCTTGCATGGTCATGTATTGATACTGAGTTTATTGTGGGTCACATTGAGCCAATTGCATGATCATTCTCAAATTACACATTAGGGAAGCTTAACAATGTTTTCATTAATGAAGTTCATTGATTTAAACATTGGACTCAATGAGTTATTGAGGTTGTTATTAAGAAAACCTAATGGATTTGTGAAACTCCCAATATCTTAAGTGAACTATGATTGCCATCAAAACCATTTTCAAGAGATTTCCTATCATTCATTTCCATTCCATCATTATTATCTTAAAACACCAAAAATATAGTATCTTAGGTTTGTTTTCATTGCATTTAGTTTAGGCACCATTCATTTAAATCTTAAAAATCCAAAACCCCATTTCATTGCATTGCATGACATTTAATCTAGCTTAGGTAATTAATAAAGGCTCCCAAAAGTGAAACGACCTGAGTTAGCACTATACTGCATAGCTTGGATTTATTTTTGATTGAGAACCCCAAGGCGAATGACAAAAGGCTCTCATCAAATGGCGCCGTTGCCGGGGAGCCAAGCAATTGGTTCCTTAGGCTAGTTAACTGTCAACTTTGGTTGATTGGGGGTTTTGTGAGCCTGTTAGGTTACATTTTTGCATTGTGCATAATAGATTTTGCATTGCATAAAAATTTTAAGAAATACAAACAAAGATCTTGATTTTGATTTTGATTTTTGCATACAGTTTCATACCCTTCATAACATTCATTGCATTTTTGAGTTCCTTCTTGTTTTCATTCTCTGTGTTTTTGTTGTTGTGTTCTGGTTTTCTTACTGTCTGTGACATTTGGCCACGGCCAACTCCCTATTTCGTCGCGGCCAACTTGCTAGATTTTAGCAAGAATCCCTCTCGGGACACCTTCACCGCAGCCAACTTTGTGTTTCGCCGCAGCGTAGTGTGTTGAACCAGATTCCATTCTCTCTCTCTAGACATCTTTGTCGCGACAAACCCTTCTTTTCGCCGTGGCGAAGGGTCCCTTATCTTAAAAAAAAAATTTCATAAAAACTCTTTGGGAACTGATTGTTTAGCTTTCTTATGGCTTGGTTTAATAATAATTTAGGTCTATTGATCACCCTTCCTCTTTTGTAGGTGACAATACTCTGATGGGTGATAATTCTTCTCAAAGGCTTGATGCCATACAAGAGGAATTGGATCTGCTTCAAGCACATGTTGATCATGAAGAACATGGTGGGACTTATCAAGGGCATGATCCCTATCCTCACCATAACCATGGCTATGATTGGATGAATGACCCTCCACATTCCCCTTACCATACCTCTTCATTCCATTCATACACAAACCAACACCCACCATTAGGACAACATTATGACCTATCACCTCCACCATACAATCCACACTTTGAACACTTTCCTTCACACCATCCATATCATGAGCCAAACATTCCATCACATGAACCCTACCACCAATACCCTTCCTCATCTCACCAATCATTTCATGAACCATCACCGTCATTCCATAGATGTTCCACTTCATACCTTGAACCATTCTCACCGTATAATTCCCCCTTTAAACCATCTCCTTCGCCAAATGACTACCACCACCAACCCTTGTCCCAATCCATGTACCAACCCCTTCCCCAATCTCATGAACATGAATTCAGTGAACCTGACCCATTTCTCACTATTCCTAAGAATGACCAGATGCGATTTTTAAGAGAAGCTTATGACCGGTTGAATTCATACTACCATGGATTACTTGAAGAGGTAGAAATATCTGGAATTTCTAAGGAATCAGAGGAAGAGTTAGAAGAATGTCAAAGTGCATTGGGAAAGTTCTTGAGTGATATAGCACGAATTGAGTCTGAGATTGGGAAAGATGAATCAAAGTGTCCAGATTCACTCATACAAGAGGCCCAGATGAAGCAAGAACATCTACAAACTCACAAGGACTCGTGCCCTACATCAGGTAATATTGCTCCTCTTCTTGAGGAGATTGACCCTTGTGCTAGAACTACTATTCCTGTTGAAGTTATTGATGATGTGAGTGATAATGAGGTGGATGAGAAAATCATAGTTGAATCCCCTCATATGTTTCAAAATAAAAATTCTCACTTGAACACTTCTAATAGTAGTTGTTTAGTTGATGATGTTGCTTGCACTGTCACTGCTTCTTTGTGTGAAGAACATGCTTCTCTTTCTAGTACTAGATTAGATGGTGAAACTGATTCTGATTTGAATGAACCTTTATCTTGTTCTTGCAATGCTCACACTATATGCATGGATTGCATTAATAACAAAAATGATATACTTGTTGAGTGGCAAAAGCAGAACTTTGGTAAAGTGTGTGCATCGTCTTCTAGTACTGAAAGTGCTGCAAATATAAAGCATGATATTGATGTGAATTGCTTGGATGATGACCTTGTAGAGAAATGTGAATTTAACCATAGCCTTGAAAATTATCTTTCTAAAAATCCCATTGAGTTCATAGCTTCTAATAATGTTGAGAAAGGCTTTAAAATTTCAATTGATAAAATCATGAATATCAATAAGTCTTTCCAACAAGTTTTATCTTGTGATTTAACTCCTGATTTATCTTGCATTGTAAATAGTAGTTTGCATAAATCTTTTTGTTCTTTCTTTTCTCCCCCTTCATACAGTACCTCTTGTGAATGTGATAGTGATGTGCTGTACTCCAACAACTGTCAGTTGGATTCTTCAGCTTCCACTTCACATGAGCTTGAGTGTTTTAAAAATTTAAATAAAAGTTTGACTCCTACTGATAGGAGTGCTATTGACTTTCTTGGTTGTGATAGTTACTTGGAGAGATTAACTTCTAAATTGTCTTTATTTCATTTTCAATCTCTTCATGTTTCTATTTCTGGATGTGGTACTGCTGTTGGTTCTACTTGCTTGCAGGACTCCACACCACCACTACTAAGGAAGATCAATAAAGGAGAAGTGAGCATATGGAAGAAATGCATGTTTCTCATCCGGGATGAGAACTTCTCCTATAAGAGTTTGAAGAGATTTCGTTCTAAAGGTTGTCCCTTTCCTTCCTTAACTCTTATCTTTTGAATTATTTGCTTGTTTTGTGAGATAAGTGTGGGGGAGGGACTTATCCAGTAGCAAAAGTAGTTTCTTTTCTTTTCTTTTCCTCCCTTTTGATTTTGGTTTCTCTTGTTTAGGGTTACACTTGAGTTTTGCATTGGGGACAATGCAAGATTTAAGTGTGGGGGAGGGATTGATATTCACTAATTGTGTTGTGTTTTCCTATGTTTATTGAAAATCTGGTTTTCTAAAAAAAAATTCAAAATTTTGATTGATTTTTGAACTTAATTTGAAGATTTTGAGTCAAAATTTTTGAAAATTTTTGCTTCAATTATCTTACACTTGAATTTATGTATTCTTGGACTTTGGTAAATGTTTTTGAACTTGTATTGATACTCATGAGAATTGCTATTTGTTCAAAGTTGATTGTTTTAGTTTCATTGGTCATAATTCTTTAAGCTTGCTTTTATATTGATTGAGTTAATGTATTGTGGTTAATCTGGAGTACAATTAATCTTTGTGCATGAGCATTTGAGATTTAGCCTTGTTGGAAGATTCTTTGAGCCTAATTCCTATTCATAGTGTGTGCATCCACTTACATCTTCTACTTTCTAGAACTTGTTTCAGTCCTTATTCAAAACTTAGCTGCATTGATGTGATGAGCATGATAGGGGCATTCTTTTCTAAACCCTACATCCCAAATACAAACCATCATGATTTCATCCATTGTTAGCCATTTGAACCTTCATCTTTTCTTAAGTGCCAAGACATGCATTATACATTCAAGTTTTCAACATTTTGCTATTACATTCATGATGTGTTAAACTTTGTCTTCTTGGGTTGGAATTGCCACAAAAAAAATGAGAAAAAGAAATAGAAAAAGGCACAGAAATAGAAGAAAATGTTTGAGAAAAGCCAAAGAAAGAAAGATCAAAATAAATGGTACCATAAGAATAAAGTTTTGAAATAAGGCAGTTCATTGGTGGTTTGAAGAGCAAAGTTGTGCTTGAAGAGAAATAGAGTAAATGTTTACTGGAAACCCTTTTCTAAATGCTTGGTGCTTTATCATTTCATATCTTTTTGCCTTATTTCTTTGCAATTAGCCCTTCTGATCATCATCACCTTAAAAGCCCTCTTGATCATTGTATTCATGCATTAAAAGTGAAGAGGTAGGATTTTAACAAGCTTATGGTAAAGTGTTGATTAAGTGGATTTGAGAGAGAATTACCCCATCTTGGTGAGTAGAGTAAAATAGTTTATATCTTGAGTGTTTTCTCTTTTGTTCATTCCCATTGTATTCACTGTACTCTACTTTAATCCCTTCTCATTAATTTGGATTACTATAATTGCTTGTTTAAAGAATTGGCTTAATGACACTATCACTTTCTTACTTTGAAGTCATAGAGATTCCCATTTGTATCAATACTATTCTCTTGCTTCAGTTTTGTATTGCCTTTGTCCAGGAGTACAAAGGTTTAAGTGTGGGGGATTTGATTGAACCCAATTATTCTATGTTATTTCATATCATTTTAAGGGTTTTTATCATAGGTTTTGGCTCCTTTTAATGATAATTGTGCTTAATTTAGATTAAGAGTCCTTACTTTGAGTTAGTGTCTTTTTGAGGGTAAAATTGTCATAATTAGTTATTAATTGTATTCAATTGATTTCTAGGACAATTGATGCTTCAAATTGTTGCTTTTCATTGTAGGACACTTGAGAATTAGAGCCAAGATTGAAGACCAAAGCATTACACAACATGAGAGTTTTCAAGAAAATGCTGTGCTGTAGCAAAAAGTCTGAAAATGTACATCAGTGGCTATTCTGGAATAGTTCGCCGGGGCAAACTTTTTGGTTCGCCGGGGCAAACTCCCAAAATCCCACTAGAATACCTGTCTGGAATAGTTCGCCGGGGCAAACTTTTGAGTTCGCCGCGGCGAACCTCTTCGTATCAGGAACGTCAGATTCGGATCCAGAACGCAAAAATGGACCTTCTACTCATATGATCCGACCCAGATGGACCCCAAAAGCCCTTAGAAACCCTATTTTTGACCTAACACTCCATTCTATCATCTCCAACACCTTTATTCTCCCATCCTCTTACCTCTCCATCTCCATTTTTCTTCCCCTTCCATTTCCTGCACTCTTTCTTCATCCCACCTCATTTCCTTCATCTCCTAGCTACCATGGCCGACGGATTCACTTTAGTTGGAGCTTTTCTTGAAGCTATGGAGGGCTAGGGTTTATCAACTCTTGAAGATGGTGGAGTAGCATGAGTTTCCAAGCTTCAAAGGGGAGTTTTAGTTTTAATCTTTAGTTTCTAGCTATATGTTTATGATTTCCTAGGTCTAGGAGTTGTAAAATCTTAGTTAGACACTTTGGTTAATTCTGTAATCATTGGTTAATGATTTACATTTGTAGTTTGGATTGGTTGATGTTGAATTTTGGGCTTAAATATATGTGGTCACATATATGCTTCTTTGTAACTCTCATGATTCTCTCCTATCTTGCATGGTCATGTATTGATACTGAGTTTATTGTGGGTCACATTGAGCCAATTGCATGATCATTCTCAAATTACACATTAGGGAAACTTAACAATGTTTTCATTAATGAAGTTCATTGATTTAAACATTGGACTCAATGAGTTATTGAGGTTGTTATTAAGAAAACCTAATGGATTTGTGAAACTCCCAATATCTTAAGTGAACTATGATTGCCATCAAAACCATTTTCAAGAGATTTCCTATCATTCATTTCCATTCCATCATTATTATCTTAAAACACCAAAAATATAGTATCTTAGGTTTGTTTTCATTGCATTTAGTTTAGGCACCATTCATTTAAATCTTAAAAACCCAAAACCCCATTTCATTGCATTGCATGGCATTTAATCTAACTTAGGTAATTAATAAAGGCTCCTAAAAGTGAAACGACCCGAGTTAGCACTATACTGTATAGCTTGGATTTATTTTTGATTGAGAACCCCAAGGCGAA